CTCGCCCAGTCCAGCTTCAGCGGCCCCGTGGCCTAGGGGGCCGGTGCCCGTGTCCGTGCTGGGGCCGTGAGGAGCGGCAAGAAAAGGGGCCGCAGGAGGAAGGAGGCTGAAGCGGGGCCCGAGCGTCCTCAGGTGCGAAGGGGTCAAACAAGCGCCTGTTTTCACATCGCCTTTTCCGAGGCGGGAGTGGGCGGCCGTGGGGCGCAAGAGCGGCGGCGGCGGGGTTGGCAGCACCCTGGCCGAGAGTCGAGATCCGCACCTGGCAGGGGGGCCACCACGTGTCTGGGGCTAGGAAGGCCGTTTTCCTTCAGCACTCCCGGGGATAACTGCTCTTCTGTTGTGGTTCAGGACCGCCCGAGGTGTTGGGGCTTAAAGCCCACCTGATGGAAAGGGGAGGCTCCTCCCTAGCTGGCTCCTGCAGCCACAGGGCTGAGGGCAGGCGATACTTGGGGGCATCTGAACCCCAGGCTTGGGCTGGCACATAGGATGCCCACCAAAAGACTGGAAGTATCTGAAGCCCCTGGTAGGAGTGGAGGATGTTTGCAGGTTGTCGGGCCCCTTATGGTCCTGCACTGACTCATGGATTTGGACTGGATTTGGCTGGGAACACAAAAAATGTCTTTACAAAAAAAAAGTCTAGATTCATAGATTCATAGGTGCTAGGGTCAGAAGACTTTGTATGGGACAGTGGGTAGGGATGATCCAACCTCAGGCCCCTTCCAGCCCTGCATCCCTAGGACTCTGATCCTCCTCTTTTTTTATGCCTTTGCCTTCTCTTGGGTAGGCTGAATCACTTTATACATTAATATCAGTTTAACATCAGAAGAATTTAAACAGAAACGCCCAGTTTTCAGTCTGGCAATTGAACAGTGCCCCCTTTTGTTTGCCAAGGCAGCCTGCCCTGCGTTATCAAGTGTATCACAACAAAGTGAGGGTTTGGTAATTGTGGGAACTGGCTCTCCAGGCTCCCTTTCCAGATGCTTATATCAAGACCACGAGATGATCTTGGCTCGAAGTCCCTGCTGCAATTTCTTGTGAGTTGAGTGGCACACGTAGGTGGAAATTCAGCCAAAGTAATGTAATTGCTAGGCTACGCTATTCGCGCCCAAAGAGCTAAAGTAGAGTTGACAAGAGTGCCTGAGTTTGCTGTGTGAGAGGAGAATGAGAGCAACATGAACCACAGACTTGGCCTTGAGTACATATGCAACCCCCAGAGAACTAGATATGTGAAACTAGGGTAAATGCATCTGGGAGCCCAATTCTGCTCTCGAAGCAATGACAAATCTCTAATTTCAGGGGTAATGCAATTAAGAGTTAAATAGAGACTTTAACATATAGCATCTGGCTGGGAAATGGGTGTGAAAGAGGAATCGGAGTTCTTGAATGCTCTGTACTGTCCCTCTGCCATATTTGAACTTTGGCGGGGATAAGAAAGGAGAGTTCTGGATCATCGCAGTCTTATCCTTACCTAAAAACATAATATGTACCTGGATTTAACTTCCTTGCAGGGCACCCTTCCTTCAGAGCAGTCTTTTGAAGCAGTGTATTCAGCCCCCTGGAAAGGAGGAGTTTTGGGTAGCTAGTGTGACTCCTCCCTAATGACTAAAGCCAGGCTGTGACTCAGTGTCTGTAAGGAACTGTGGACATTGAGCATTGAGGTGAGGTGGTCATATTTGCTGGACTTGGTCAGTTTTAGATAGAAGCTTCCCTCCTGCTTCCTTAGGTTCAGAAGTGGAAAAAGTATCAAGACACTGGAACAGACTGAAAGAAAAGACGGGACTGTTTTGAACACTTCTGCTGAAAGCACTGGGAGAATTCTCTCACGCTCATTAGAGCTCACCAGGGTTTGTACAGTCTTTATGAATTTATTCTGAAGGAGGGAATATTCTAATTAAATGTTTCACCAGGCTAGAAGCCAAGTGCAACAGTCCTACTGATGGCTGGCTGTTCTGAGAGCCAGAGGAGATGACATGCTTTGTTCAGTGAATGCTTTGAAACGTATGTTGGTATTAGATGACATAAGATGTTCAGCTAACACATTAGATGAAAACAGTAGAGTAATACATATTTACAATCTTCATTCAGTGTCATTTAACTTTTTTGTACAGCTCTATTGTCAGCATGGTTAGGGTAGGAACTTGACCTTGGGAGAAGCACCTTCCAGGGACCCTGAAAAAATCAGTATAGACTTGTCTAAGTCTTAGTCTATGGAAAATCTCAATTTGCACATATGCTGTAAAAGTTGCAATTGCTTGCTCTTAATTTTCTGAACGTTCAGTTGCATTACAGTGCCCACAGATCCTGCTGACTTTCCTGCATCATCTACTCATGATACATCTGTGTTTCATGGTCCAGGAATAACAGACAAAACAGATTCTTTTCCTCCTTGTTCCTGCTAGGCTTAAAAAGTATGTATTGGACCATGGCATTGAGGAGCGTATGTTAAGGTTTTAAAGACAATCATAGTTGTGATACATGCAGGTTTCAAGTTTTACAACCTTAGCAAACTTCTTCAAGCATAGGTGATTTTTGCATACAAAATCTTCATTGCATATATGCTTGTTTCCATTACGTTTTTTTCTTTAAATTGGGAAAGAAAAAAATAACATTGAAAAGTTCTGAAATGGATGAACGTGATATAGTTTGATTTTTTTTTTCTCTTCATAACCATTTTATTGTTTTGCTCTAGATCTCAGGATGGTGAAGGAGGAGGATATTGTAGATGAGAATGAAGATCCAGAGCCAGCTATTGATGTGGTCAATGGTATTATTCCTGTGTATCAGAAAACTCAGGTAATTGCAAATACGACCTATATTCAGGCTCTCCTTTTTCTTAGGTCCCCAGATTCATTAAAACATTAACAGAGATTAATTTTACAAATGGAACTTACATCCCTCTCAGTTACTATATATACTGTATTTTTTCTCCTTGGTGTGTTTGACCGTTCAAAAATAGTGATCATAACTTCAACTTAGAGTGGAAGATCAGTTGGTTTAGGTGTTGCAAACAACCGTACATAAATCTTAGGACTGCTTCAGTGATTCTCAAACTATGGGCAACAGGATGTTTTCTTCCAGCAACTGTATTTGCGTTAAAATACAACTTTAAAATATCTTGCTTACATTCTTGATGTTGCTTTTCCACAGTCAAGTTAGGCACTCATGACTGGTGATCCATGTCATTATAATGGAAAGGCAGGTTGTCTGCAAGTAAATCTCATCTCACAATGTGCTTTGTGCTACATATATTTACAAGAAAAAAAAGCCCTGATTTAGAAAACCTGGCCTACAGTGAGCAATGGGTGATAATTAATGTAGTAGCTCATTACAAATTAATATGATATTGTTTCTGAGAGAGTTTTGCTTTAATTTAGGAAGCTGCCACCGTGGACTCCAAAGGCACAGATGGAAATATACAAACAGAAGCAACTGCTCTACTAAATAACCGTGTACAGCAACCTGAGACAGAGTCCAAGCATTCAAGGAAACTGAGGCAAAGATGTGTTTGTCCTCCTCAAGGCTTGCTTGCCCGAATAGTGACAAATGGTATGAAAGGGAAAGCATGTCACCTGTTCAAGGGGAGAGTAGACAACATCTGCTAAGTTTTCTAGATGTTATAGACAATGGGTTTTTTTGTAAATAGTGAAGAAAGATTGTTGCTTTCAACCAGATTTTCTAATCTTTAGCTGCTCTGAAAGAAGAATTTTGATGGAGAACAAGGACTTGACTTTCTAGTATTTTTCACTACTCCCTGACTGCTCCTTGTTTAGACTCCTCTCATTATCTCAATCATTCTGTTCAGTGGTGTGAACTCTTAAGACTGTTTAATGTTATCAGCCACAAACAAACTGTAAAGAATAATATAATCTCATTATATTTCTGGTGCAATAAATGGGTTTTTGTTGAAATTAGGTCATTAATAAACCACTTAATTTTGTTACTTTGGGGTTAATCCTAATGTCTAAGGTTTTTTTAAAACAAGGTACTGGCTTCAAGGACAGTCTGGACCTATTCATTAGAACAATGTTAGCTGCTCTGGAAGTTGAGTGAGATGATAAATTATTACCTTGCCCATGGCTGCAAAGCTTCCCAAGTTGTGGAGATTCCTCATGTCTGTGATAGCCTTCCACCCCATTCCCAGCCCTATAAACTCATTTCCTCATATGCAGTACAGTATTCCTAACACCCTCTTATGGCTTATTGCAGTATTTCAGTTCCTGCAAAAGCAGAGGGTCAGTTTACAATCTGAATATGAAAGCTTATTATGGGAAACTGGCATTAAATCTAAATAAAGTAAATCACTGATCACACCAAAAAAAATTGCAAACATGAATGAAAATTGAACCAAGTCTATTCTGAAAGAGGATTAATCACATGGTTGCTTTCTTATTGCAGTTGCAGCAGTGGCTCTAGTTTGGGCTGTGGCCTGGGCTGTTACAGGGAAGGAGTGTCTGCCAGGTGGAAACTTATTCGCAGTTTTGCTACTCTATTTTTTTGCTGTCACTGGAGGTAAAATATTTGGGCTTATTAAAATACCTACACTGCCACCTCTACCTCCTCTTCTTGGTAAGTCTCATGTTCCATATTCTTTCTTCTTTTACTTTTGCCTTGCATAATATTGTTTGAATAGTATGATGAGATTCGGGGCTCAGAAATTTTGGTTAGAAACATGTGAATTTGCATATTGGATGAGACCCAAGGTCTGTTTAGTCTGTAGTCCTGGCTTTGGGATCAATTGACATCAAAGGCTTTGGAGGAAGATGCAAAAACCCTAGAACAAGCCAGTGCAGGAAAATCTACTCTTTCTCCTTTCCTCCCCTCCCCTCCCCTTTACCCCTCATCCTATTTTGTCTCATTCTGATATCTTAAATTTCAGGGCCTGGCTTTCTCCCTGAGACACAAAGTTCAATATCCTTTCAATAGTTCTCAGTCCCTGAAGTATAGCCACCCTAGAATTTGAATCCAGGATTGTTAGGTGTGAGCACAATCAACCAGTTCACAGTTCACATAATAATGAATTCATAATGTGTAAGATGCTACTGCTGATCTCTCTTACATCTATCTTGGGCAGGTTTTGAAAATGTTTTAAAGGGGAGGATGTTAAAAATATCTTTCTCCACAACTTATCCCAAACAATCTGTTTCTACTGCTTCTGATTGCCTTGATGCAAACTTTCTACTGTGATTGCTGACTTGACTCCAGATTTTGTCACAAGTTGCTGACCAAAGGATGACCAATCCATTTCCTGCAAGTTTTTGGAATTTGTATTTTTGGGGGGGGGAGGGGGGGGGTTGATTTTTGTTTTTGTTTTTTGCTTTGTTTTTTCAAATAATAGCAAAACCTGAAAAAATCCAAATTCTCTTCAACGGAAAATTTTAAAGAAAGTTATTTTAGATTAGTCAAAATGCTTTTTTTTCCTATTTCATTTCTTTTTTTTTGTATTATAAAAAATAAAAAATTGAGATGAAAATTGTCACAAAAATTCAACCCATGTCATTATACAAATGTTGAAACCTCATCTTTTTCACATTGGAAATTTTTTGTAAAGTTTGTCCCTAAATGAAATCAGCATAGTTTTGCAGAGTGTTTGAACTTTATGGGAAGCATGAATGACTGGTGCCTCCCACAGCTGGGGAGGCACCATGGCAGTGAGTGGGGACTGTCCGCAGCCGCTGTCGGTGGGGGAGGGTAGCGAGCAGGGACTGCCTGCAGCTGCCACTGGCCCCATCAGTGGCAAGGACGGGCAGGGGCGAGCAGCAACTGCCTGTAGAAGCCAGCAATAGGCAATCTCAGGGGAAGGCATCTGCCCTCCCGTGTCCCCTCTACACATTGCCTATAATGGGAAATGCTTTTTCTATCAAAACAAAAAGGTCCAGCAAAATTTTTCTGATAAGATAACCTCTTACATTGAGTAGTTGAAGAAAGTGGGCTTGTAGATGGCATGAAGGCATGTACTAGATTCTGGGCCATAAATATGATTGGTTTTTTTAATTTATATATGTGTTACCGAGATCATGAATTAAGTGGCATATGACATTAGGTAGAACACCATTCAGAGATGGCACTTGTTTTACATTAATTTGGCTTACACGTGAGCAGACATTCAAATGAATAAAAGAAAGAGGACAAATCATTTTTGCAAAGAGATCATGTGGTTTGGAGTACTGAGAACTGGATTTGATGAATGAGAAGGTTCCTTCCAATCCTTTGTTCCTAGTTTAAATGTTTTTTTAAAATGAACTACAGTTTCTGATTTTGTCTTTTATTCAAGAGTTATAATGTGAGCATGAGTCTACTTGTTAGGCAAGTAATCTTAGGCAAGAACAAAACCCTAAGCAGGATAGCACATGCCTGGTAAGCTGCTTATAACAATCTTCACGCTAAGGATTTCTCATATTTGAAGAACATCTGAACCTCTACGAAACAAAGAAGGGAAAAAATAAATGTATTATTAGGTGCATCACAAGTGGCACAGCCAGCCTCAGTGTGTGGTGCATGGCAGTTCAGCTAGTTTCATAGTTGGTAGGGTCGGAAGGGACCTGAGCAGATCATCAAGTCCGACCTCCTGCCATGGCAGGAAAAAGTAGTGGGGTCAAATGACCCCAGCAAGGTGTTCATCTAACCTCTTCTTAAAGACCCCCAGGGTAGGAGCCAGCACCACTTCTCTTGGAAGTTGGTTCCAGGTCCTAGCCGCCCTGACCGTGAAGTAGCGTCTTCTGATGTCTGACCTGAACCTACCCTCTGCCAGCTTGTGACCGTTATTTCTAGTCACTGCTGGTAGTGCTCAGGGGAACAGGGACTCCCCCAATGCCTGCTGGTCCCCCCTGACTAGTTTGCAACAGGCCACTAGATCCCCCCTCAGCCTTCTCTTGTGGAGGCTGAACAGGTTCAGGTCCAGTAGCCTCTCCTCATACGGCCTTCCCTGCTGCCCCCGATCACACGAGTGTCCCTCCTCTGGACCCTCTCCATGTTGTCTACATCCCTCCTGAAGTGCAGTGCCCAAAACTGGATGCAGTACTCCAGCTGTGGCCTGACCAGAGCGGCACAGAAGGGGAGGATCACCTCCTTGGACCTGCTTGAGATGCATCTGTGGATGCATGACAAGGTATGGTTGGCCTTCCTGACTGCATCCCCACACTGCCGGCCCATGTTATTTTGGCATCAATGATGACTCCAAGATCCTTTTCTGCCTCTGTACTGACGAGAAGGGAGTTCCCCAGCCTGTAGGTATGGTGCTGGTTGTTCCTCCCCAGATGCATCACCTTGCACTTGTCACTGTTGAAACCCATCCTGTTCTCATCCGCCCACCCCTGTAACCTGTTGGGTCTGATTGCAGCCTATTCCTCCCGTCTAATGTGACCACATCCCCCCACATCTTAGAACACAAGGCAGTCAAGGGGAAAGGGACTTAACGGTGGGGGTCTACTACAGACCACCCAACCAAGGGGAAGAGCTAAACGGAGAATTCTTAAGTCAGCTCACAAAGGTAGTTAGGTCAAAAAACGTCATCATGGGTGACCTGAACTTTCCAGACATCTGCTGGGAAGAGTAGTCAGCCAGGTCTGACTGCTCACGTGGGTTCCTGAAATACAGGACCTCCATCTAACCCAGGAGGTGCACAGCCCCACCAGGGGAGACAACCTGTTGGACCTGGTGCTGACCACGGGCAACAACCTGGTGAGGGGGCTGCGGGTGCTCGACCACCTGGGTGACAGCGATCATTGCCTGCTGGAATTCACCATCCAGTGCAAGGTGGCAAAGGCCTGCAGCAAGGCAGCAGCCCTAGACTTCAGGAGGGTGGACTTCAATGCACTAAGGAGAATAGTCGGAGAGGCACTGAGGTCCTGGAGAGGGGGGAGTCGGGTGTCCAAGAAGAGTGGGAACAGGTAACACAATAACAGATTGGGCAGGAAACAAAGCAGAGAAGCAGATCAGGCAGGGGAAAGGGATTGGAGTGGGGTGGATGTGGAGCTAATTCATGACGAACCTTCCAAAAAGTTTGGCTCCTGCTGTCTAAAGTAATCTTTGCATATGCATATCTGGCCTTTGACCTACCCTTTTTAAATGGAATTTAGCCTATGGCTTCTAGGTAGCTTTATATTATGATAAGACTATTTGAAGGAATCATCAGCTTCCTTGGGGGACATTGTACATCCTCTGTGTGCTGCTGAGGGATCTCTGGGCTCTAAGAGACATGCAGGTCCCTGCTCTAACTCACGGCACTTTGCATAAAGAACTATGAGTTAGAGCAACATGCCTTCCTCCTCCCTACCCAAGCCAACAGACAGCCTGTTGGGTTGGGGGAATCAAGTCTGCCTGTCTGTCCCTTAATCAGGGCTGGGCTGATGCAACCCCACTCCCCCTCCCAGCTCCAGTGCTGTCTGGAGGAAGGGAATGGGGAGGGGGAGCTGTGGTCTGGGGTTTGTCCAGCCTGAACTGAAGGAAGGGGCAGGTGGGGCCACAAGGCAGGGGCCTGCAATCCACCCACCCCCCTTCAACTCAGGCCAGGCACCACAGCTCCCCTTCCTCCTCCCCCCTTATCCTGCTTCTTGCAGATAGCACTGGTGGGGGGCCAGGCTGATGCAGCTAAGCCCTAATCATGCTGGCAGATTGACCCTAGGAAACACAAATTTCTTAAGGTGTTCCACTTTGGAGCGCCTTCATGTGACCTCTCATTAGATGACAGTTAATTTGTCATGCAATTGGTCACTTTTAAAGTGCTCTGTCACCACACAGCTATAGAGAGCTTTCAGGGGGTCATTTGCATGATAAACATAACTTCTCTCTGCACCCTCTGTGACAGCCCTACATAGGACAGTGAAGGACCTAAAGAGACTGTGATTACCAGAACTGTATAGTTATAACAACCGTAACGTTTCACAAGCGTGGCATAAGGCTTGTGACCAGTATTGCAACACAAATGCTGATGTAATTTTCATAGTAAGGTACAAATTAATCATGTTGTTCCTGAAGGGTGTCTGAAAAACAAAAAGTGCCTAAAATGTTATTCCGGGTCAAATAAAAGCCACAGCCAAGGCTTTTTAGAGCACGGCCAGCATTCTGTGGCTGACTTCAGTACGGTATTTTTTTAAAGTCTGTACAGTGGAGTTCCATCATACACGCATTTAACGTATGCAAATTCAACTATACGCGCTTGGCAAAAAAAAAAGAGAAAAATAACAATTTAAATAGTGCAGTCGATTCCATCCGCCCGTCATTCCACTCAATGAGCATATGCCCTGGAGTGAGCATGAGATGGGAGACGTGAATCTGCTGTTCTCTCAGTTGGTCTCAGTTCCCACATGTCTCACAGTGTGAGCATCTCACTGCGATTTTGACTATACGTGATTTTCGCCTTACGCGCTGACTTCAGAACCTAACCCCTATGTAAGATGCGACTCCACTGTATTGTGATAAATTTCATAAAATAAATATAAATAAACTGTGCCCCAATGTATACATTTTACAGGATTAAGCCTTAAAATGGAATATTGCAGGTCTGTGGAAAACTGTGAAAAAAAATATTTTATTTATAGAACAGATCTGATATAAAGCAGACAAAACATCAAAATAGAAAATAACTGCCAAATAAATATTTGCAAGAGGTAGAATGTGATTAGTAGTTTACCTAGCAAATAGGAGTAGAAGACTAAAATTCTTTTCCTAATTCCTTTTCATGAATTCTTAAAGAACTAAAAACAAAGAGTTTAATTTTTATACTGTGAAATATTGTAGGCCAGATTTTCAAAGGAGCAAAGTGTTGCAGTTCTTGACCATTTCTTTATTTAAAATAAATGACAACTATTAAATCATCTTCCTTTCCTCTGTAAAAACAAAAAAACAAGTATCATTTAAAAAATAAAAAATTGTCTATGCCCCTGGTTGGCTGTGTGTTCTATAATGGCCTACTCATGGATGGAAAATCTCCATTCTGTAGTCTATTGTGTATCCAAGTGCTGTATATGCTCAGTGGATAACAGTGAACAGAAGTGTCATAATCTCTGTGTCTTATGACTCTGGCACACATTCATTTAATGGTTGGATAGGATCTGATCCCCAGTCCCAACAATCGTGCCTCCTGCTGTTCTACACATGCATGGAAGGAAGTGTGATTGTGGAATCAGGGATCAGATCCCAGTCATGCCATTATTACTTGCCAGTGCATGAGGAGCTCAGGTTCATAATCATAATAAAGTCTACAAGTGGCTGAGCCCTTTGCTCCCTCCTCCCCCACCTTGCTGGGAGCCTCTGAACCTCTGTGCTGGGCAGCCCGGCCAGAGCTGCTGGGCATGGGATTTAAAGTCCCTAGTGGGGAAGCCCAGGTAAGCTGCTTCAGCAGAGGTCTTTAAATCCCCTGTGATCTGGGACCTCCCAGCTTCCCATACCTCGCACCTTGAAGCAGCACCTGCAATTGGGGGGCCAAGGGCTCTCAGATCCCCAGCTTTCACTTCTATGGGCACCCTGGGAATTTAAAAAAAAGGTGTGCAGCTGTACTCAGTGAGCCTGAGGTTGGGAAGACGTACCTTAATATTAGGCTCATGGGGCTCCCCCACTCTGACTTTAGGGATCAGATGGGGGCACTGGATCTAGGATTGGGTGGGGCATGGCTGTGTTCTGGACCCTGGGGTTGCTCCATGCTGGATCCCTGCACTCAGCTGAATGTCAAAATTTGTCGTGGGTCAGTCCCCATATGCCACATGTTCATTTTAAGGCATTTACAAACGAGCAACGAAGTTGTTGTACAATGTACGTGGAATATCTCTGGTTCATTTACTATTATTATACCATAAGTTGGCATTAACTTGTGGCCAGATTACTATTTCTGTTTAACAGTTAACATGTTAATAGCATTTTAAATGTAATAAATGTAATGTTTTTCAGGGCCTTCAGTCCCCCATCTGTAAAATGGGGATAACAACAGGAGAAGGACTGTTTCCTTGCTTTTTATTATGTGTTTCCATAGTTCTTAGTACAGCAAGGACTTATCTTGGGACTCTAGACGCTTCTGTAATATAGGAATGATTGTGTCTTGTTCAAAAGATATGCCTTTTTTTTTTTTTAAGGAATGTTACTTGCTGGTTTTCTCATCCGCAACACCCCTGTCATCAGTGACATAGTCCAGATAAAGACAAACTGGTCGGCAGTACTGAGAAATATTGCCCTTTCCATTATCTTGATCCGAGCAGGGCTTGGCCTTGATGCAAAGGTACAGTACAGAGTGTTTCTGATGTACTAATGTACAAATACAAAATATTTGACAAACTATTTTTGAAGGTGTCATCAAACTGTTCAGTCTCATAAACTTTTGTATTAAAGGTTTTTGCTATTGCATCTGCTTCAAAATTGAAAATAAGATAAAGTATTCCATCAGGAAAGGTTAATAAAATCAGTACTCTGTGCTGAATTCATAAAATAGGCTGAGCCAGACTGTTTTGTGATCCTCTCCCTCCTCTTTTCCCCTAAAGAAGTTTTTGTTTTTTGGGAGTAGGTCCTCACAGTGAAATGCACTCTTACCTTGATTTGCAAGCAGTATAAATTTAAATTGATTTAGTTAGCTTTTCCTATAAAGCCTCTGTCTCTGTGAGCAAAAAATAATTCCTCTTCCAGTCAGTGAGGCTGGATAGATTCCCAACATGAAAAAGGAAGGGGCTAGCAAATGAGAGCTCCTGTCTTTTTCCAAAACTCAGAACTGCAATCAAGCTATTAAATGTTGACCAGGTTGGATGAGCCTGACCACTTTTTTCAGGCAAGGTAAAGGCTTGGTAGGGAGTTTATAATATGACCAGAAATTGTTTTTTGCTTTTACAACTAAAGAAAATGCCAGAAAGCATTAGGTTACACCAGTTCTAGTCTTCTCTAACATTTTCTTAATAGCGTCATTGAGCTCTGTATTGAAAGGGCCTTTTAGTGTTAGGTGGCTTGACATTGCCCACAGTTGGATGATGACTTCAGTAATTAGACGCTGTTTTCCCTTTGTAGTATATATATTTTCAGACCAAATCTTTGAGTCTGTTTTTTTCTCCCTGTGGTAACTTTAGTGATCTGTAGTATAGATGTAATGTAGTTCTAGTTGTTGGTACCCAGGCATTAGTGTAATTGCAGCAATACTCTCCCATGGTATAGACCAGTGTTTCTCAACCTTTTAAGTAGCAAGTACCCCCTAACTTTGGAAAATGAAGGAGCCACAGGGTTTAACACAGTTGTTGCTCTGTGCCACCAACCTATGTCCCTAACAGGACCTTGTCCCCAACTTCCCAGCCCCTCTAGAAGCCCTGGAGGCCAGACAACACAGCTCTGTGGGCTGTATGTTTGGCACCCCTGATGCATGGAAATGAAGTTTTACAATGAACTTCACTGTACTATACAAGGGCAACGGTACTTTTTTTATAAACCTGAGTGGATCGTAAAATGCTTTTGCCTTTTATGAAATCAAAGTGTTGTTACTGTTGCTAATGTGGAAATATATGTTTATGTTTCAGGCACTTATGAAATTAAAGGCAGTCTGTCTAAGGCTTTCTTTTGGGCCCTGCATCTCAGAGACTTGTGCTGCTGCTATTCTCTCCCATTTCCTGTTGGGTTTGCCATGGCAATGGGGATTTATATTAGGGTAACTTACTTTCCTTTCTCCTATATAACAAAACTGAATTACTTTTTACTATGATGGTGCCTGTCTATCCGCTAGGGATCTTTTCTTGAATTAATGCATGACACAGGTATCCCCAGGGTCTAAACATATGACTAATGTACTGCCAGGCAGAAGATGAAGGTTCACTACTGGTTACCTCATGGTAAAATGCTGTTCCAGGCCCTGTAAGAAAGTGCTTCATGCCATGTTCTTAGAGCTGGTTTGAGGAAGATGTTCACATTATGAAGGAAATCTAGCTGTGCCACAATTCTCTGGCAGAGATTCTGGTCTTAGGAAGGAGGTTACTAGAGGGTGGCTTAAAGAAAGTAAGTAAATCAGGTCAGGATTCTCATGGCTTTGTCTGAAACGCAGAAGGTCTTTGGGGGCAGGAAGAAATATTATTGTAGACATACTACTCAGACCAGTAAGTATTAGAGTTCAGAATGTTACTTAAAGAGCACTACCTATTAAAAGCAGGTGTAAACATCCAGTAAGCCCTCTGTTTTTGGAGCAGTATTGTTGAGGGAGGGCTGCTTTTCCATCTTATTCCATCAAGCTCTGTATTTTGACATCACTGAATTGGTGGGGTAGCAAACATGGACTGCCAGTTTACACATCTTGGTTGTGAGCAGTTCACAGAAAGGACAGCACCTAAAAATGGGACTTTTGTATATTTGTAATGGAGGAAAAGGGACTGATAGCTTTCCCAGTTTCATATTTCATTCTTAAGGATTGTGCGTTTTTTAGTTTTGTTCTAGGTGCTGTCTCTCCAGCTGTTGTGGTCCCCTCTATGCTGATTTTGCAGGCAGGAGGATATGGTGTTGAAAAGGGAATCCCTACCTTGCTAATGGCTTCTGGAAGCATTGATGACATCTTGGCGATCACAGGTTTCAATACCTGTTTAGGCATGGCTTTCTCTACAGGTATGCCAGCAAATTCAGAGATGGCAAAAGCCAAGGCATATTTAAAAATGTTTTAAGAAATCTATTGTCTAGTGTGATGGAATTGTTATAAATTAATTTTATGAATCAAAAGGAGTTTTGATAGATACTGGTAACTCCAACAATGGAGAGAAATTGCACATATGCAGATGGGCCTGCACAAGGCATTCCCAGTTTTGAGATTTTTGTGCTATACAGCCTTAATAGATTAACTCCCCCAGCTTGACACTCACCCAGCTGCTGTGGTTGGACCCCATTACACTACATCTCTCTGACATGCTTCCTTGATCTAAAGGTCCCAGATGGTCTCTTGATTCACCAAGATTATGGTGCTAAACAGGTACTTTTATATACAGGAAAACATGTTTACATGATGCTGATAATTGGGAGATCTGAGTTTCTCTCTCAAAACTGTCACTTGCCCTTGGTATCCTTCATCAAGGTGCTTAGATTCTTTGTGCATCAGTATTTCTTGTGGATTTGTGATGACCAGGGATTCTGGTTTTCCCTGATATAAAATCACAAATTCTCTGATAAAAGAGATCACAAATTCTCTAATAAATGCCCCCAAATCCATTTTTAAAATGAAAGGCTCCCCACAGACCCCCCAGCCTGCTTGTGCCTCTCATTTCCCCACCCCCCGACACTGCCCCCACAGCCTTGCTGGTGTCCCTCGCCCCCCACCCACAACCCCTGCTTATTTAACCTGCCCAGAGGGGGCCCCCAGCTGCCAGGGCTACGGACCTGGGTCCATAGCCCCTGCCATGCTCCCCCCTGCAGCAGGTGAGGGGAGGGGTGCGGCTGGCTCCCCACCACAGCACACACTCCCAAAGGGGGCAGGGGGGGCCTGCACCCCCCAGATCTGTGAGCAGGGCAGGCATGGACTGCAGGCATGGACTCCCACCCTGCTGCCCTCCCCCAGGGCCTCCACACCCTGGCAGGTACAACCCAGCGTGGCAGGACACAGTAGGACCGCGTGGAGAAGCTACTCATTTCTGAGAGCTCTGCTGCCTTGGCAATGCGCCTCCTGCATACGGGACTGCTTTGAGGGCAGCGGTGCAGGGTTGCACCCCTCAAAGCAGCCCCGTGCACAGCAGGTGCACCACCAGGGCAGCAGAGGCCCCGGGGGAGGGCAGCAGGGCGGGAGCCTGCATCTGCAGCCCATGCCTGCCCTGTGCACAGATCTAGGGGGCACAAGTCCCCCCTGCCCCCCTCAGGAGTGTGCACCGCAGTAGGGAGCCAGCCCTCCACCCCCCAACAAATCACCTGGGGCCCCGTCCCACTCCCCACTGGCACCCTGCAGCTGTGCGTTGCAGCCCGGGACCCCAAACCCCACACACCCTCCTGGCTGGACAGCAGTCCCAGCCGTGGCCAGCTCCCTCCCTCCCTATGGGGGACTCAATCTCTTCCCCCCCCCTTATCTGCAGGAGCTGCTCTCCACACTGCCTGGGGCCATGTGCATGTAGATGCATGTGGCTCCCCCTGTCTCACCGCCCTCCTCCTGCTCCCTCCCAGCTCCCTGCAGGCTGGAATTCTGCCAGCCTGCAGGGAGCTCATTGCAAAACTGGAAAATCTTCAGGTTCCTCCAGTAAAACAAGAAATCCACATTTGCCTCCAGCAAAAGGTAAAATCAGCTGTTTACTCCATTTTTCTGTGGGAAACGGAAAACACAAATCCCTGGTGATGACCGAGTAAATGGAAACAATATAATTCACCAGCATTTCCAACTTCTGTGTTCTCACTGTTCATGTGAAATAGATTCTGGTGGACAAACATCTATAATCTAGTTTTCCTTAAGCTAAATTTTTATGGGAAAAATATTACAATTGATTAAAACAGAAGAAAACTAACCAGATGTTAGAAGTTCTGTTCTCTGAAAGCTCCTTTCACTCTCCAAGGGGAACTTTTTCAGAGGAATCCTAATTGAAGCTCATAGGCAGACAGAATTCTTTGGGTGAATCTGATATCTTTTATTCAACTTCAATAGTTGGAAAAAAAATTTTAAGCAATCTTTCGGGTTCAAAAACTCTTCATCAGGCTGAGGAAGTTTCAGCAGTTGATGTGTGCTCTTCCTGGATGGAATGAAAAGTAAAGAAGCCAGAGGCTGGGCTGGTATGCATACAAGACAGGCAGTCAGTGAAGAAGTAAATTGAGGAGTCAATGGGTGAGACAGGCTGGGTTGGGGTGGAGGAAGGGGATGAATAGTGGAGAAGTACCTGGGAAGTCAGCTGTCAGGCAGGTTATAATGTGTCATAAATGCAATGTCTATATTAAGTCCATGATTTTTAGTATCCAGGAGTTTGCTGAAGTGGAGTTTGTAGGCTCATCTCTGGGAAGTATTTTGTAAGTTTCCTTTGAGGATCAGGACTGAGAGACTGGAGAGAGAGTGGTTTTCTTGTGAGAAATGTGCCCCCACAGGTAACTGGGT